TTTCATAGATGAGTAAACTAAGGCTTGGCAAGCCTGACTTTGTATCCAAGTCGTGTATTTAGCTGGTGGCAAAGCTGGGCCCTACATTGAGCTCTTCTGGTTCCAAAGCCAGCTGACCTTGCCTTCTCTCTTCACAGTAGAACAAAAGTCATAAGAATGAGAACTGCTGGATCATAATCTAGATAAAACAAGAGGGCATTGATCATCCTCGCACTTTGCCTTCTTAAATACACAACTGAGATAGAATGTACAATCTACCTACTGAATCCAAAACCTCATCTGCTTGCAAGGCTATGCTAGTCTGGAATCTTCTCGAGAAAAAAAGCTGTAAATCTCTATCAACATTTTGGTAGCAGTGTAAACTTGTGGCAGGGGCAGAGATCACTGAACCTAAGCTCTGCCCATCTTTATTAAGGTGACTGCATTTTAAAGAGTATAACATGTGCCTAGTGTCAATATAGAAGCATAAGGTGGATATAAATTACTAAGTTATTCCAACAGTTCACACAAATAAATTGAGGGCACCCCATGCATTGAAACCAACCTTCTTTTAGCAACGAGGACTATTTTAATGCTTTGGCTAATTGTTATTTTACCTATTTCAACTTTATATGTTTCTGTAATAGCCATAAATTAGGCAATTATTAATAACACAGGTTTTATGAAGCACAGCTTAACATCTTGATTCTATCAGAGCAATAAACAAGTCACTTCTCTCACTCTTGCGTGTGTGTGTGTGTGTGTGTGTGTGTGTGTGTTGGTAATTACTTATATAATCATGGGTAAAGAAATGGAAAGATGCCACAGGTTGTGAAAACTGGCATGGGGGTAGGAAGGGCAGTGGTTGTGGGCAGGGGGTGATTAGCCAATAAGGAAGAGCAGAGGAGAAGGAAATAGACAATACTTTTTTTAATAGGTATGCACAGCAAAAACAGTATGATTGATACAATTTCATTTGTGTAAGATTATATGTTTTTATGTTTATATATGCATTAACAGAGGCATGAAAATATGATCAAAATATTAACATTTTATTACACATTTCAGACACCTTTACTTTCATGCTTATAGAAATTGCTAATTTATTACAATGAGTATAATCAGATAAAAATAATAAAGTTATTTGGCGTTCTTGGCACTTTTTAAGATCTAGACACACATTCCTATTGGTGTTTTATTGTTTTGTTTTGTTCTTTTGTTTGATTTTTGTTTCTGGTACATGTGTGTTGGTGTTTTTACCTAGCATCAATGAAGAAGGTAAAATCCCTGCGTGATCCATCTGCTAAGATGTCAAAATCAGACCCTGATAAACTGGCCACTGTCAGAATAACAGACAGCCCGGAGGAGATAGTGCAGAAGTTCCGCAAGGCTGTGACGGACTTCACCTCGGAGGTCACCTACGAGCCAGCCAGCCGAGGGGGCGTGTCCAATCTGGTGGCCATCCATGCAGCAGTGACAGGGCTCCCTGTGGAGGAGGTGGTCTGCTGCAGTGCTGGCATCGACACCGCTCGCTACAAGCTGGTGGTGGCAGATGCTGTGATTGAGAAATTTGCTCCAATTAAGAGTGAAATTGAAAAACTGAAGATGAACAAGGACCACTTAGAGAAGGTTTTACAAGTTGGGTCAGCAAAAGCCAAAGAATTAGCATATCCCGTGTGCCAGGAGGTGAAGAAATTGGTGGGGTTTCTATAGGAAGTTTCAACAAGTCACAAAAAGTCTTTTCTATCTTGTGGTCCATGCACTCCTATTAAGGCAGCTTTCCTCACAAGTGAACAATTATAGTTTGGGGACACACGATTTGGTATACCTGATCATTGGCTTCATTTGATGAATAATGATTTGTAGCCTTCAAATAGAGCAATGTTCTAAATCCCATCAGCGAAATTCTGTGGGGAAAAAAAAAGAGCAAACGAAGGCATAGCTATCTGAATCCTCAATTATGTGAGGCACGCTCGGCCTCATTTATTCACACAAATGTGATTGAGGTAAGTAGCAATTTGGCAATTGGGTGTTTCATTTTTGTCTCCCTCTGAAGTCCTGTCACAGGTGCTCACTTTATCTATCCCACCCCTTTTAAAAAGTAATATGTAGAAGTCTTAGGCTTATAATCCTTGGGATGCCATTTGAACCAATTTGTGTTCAGATCTCATAAAAATAAGTTGATGATGATCATTCATTTGTCACTGAGATGGTACCTGCTTTATTGTATTTAATCTATTTATTTCCCAAGAGACCACACTGACTATTCTAGCAAGTATTATTTGGGTTTTTTGTTTGTTTTTTAAATTCAGAGATACATGGTATGACCTTCTGAGAAGGTTGCATTATTTCAGCTTGATTTATTTATTGTACAAAGGCCCGAGTCCATACATTATGTTCTTAATAAGTACTTCCTTGCATTTGTCTCTCAGTTTAATATCACCAACCCACTGTGAAATCTATAGGAGAGGAATTTCCGTTTTACACCTGAGGAGCGTGAAGCTTAGAGAGTACAATTAGCTTGTACAGTATCTCTCCGTGAGTAAGAAGCAAATCCAGGATCAAAACCTTTACTCTTTATTCCTAAGAATAGTGCTTTTTTCATCAGCACGGAAGAGAGAAGTCACAGAAGCCAGCATGTTTGAGACTACAAGCATTCTTGTTTTGAAAGTGGGTACTGGAAATATAAGACCTGAACTACTGGTACTGTTTATATCAGCAAGTCAACCAATAGCTGCCAGCTTTAAACCTGGATTCAGCCAACCTTGGTCACATGTGTTACTCAGAATCCCCAAGGCCGGTCCCAAGTTCTGTCTCCTATGCTTATTTCAGAGACACTTCAAAGTATATTCTGCCCGACTGCAAGAGTAGTTGGTCTGACAAGTCAGATTTTCCCAGTGAGCGGGAGCTTCTCATCTTACCTTTACCTCAGTCTAAGTAGTAGCAAGTCACTCTAAAAACTACCTTCTCTGCACATCCCTTTCCCACACCCGAAAGCGGAAATGATAATTGTGACTCAGCACACCACGGCCTGATTGATTTTGTAACAGAAATTACTTGTAAGTTTTTTGCCAGTTGTCACCATTTATATATGAGTGACAAGCATGTTGGGCAAAGAATTTTTACTCGTTTCCTAAGAGAAGAAAGTAGAGTAGTCCTTTTATCAGAACAGATGTAAATACACCTAACACTGCATCCCAGAATCCAAATTAAAAGACCCTTTTTGGATCTTTTCTTGGAATGGGTTGTCTAGAGTGGGCTCTAAGGAGCCTCTTTGGCATATTTTCTGCAAACCTCTTTTTTTTGTTGTTTGGTTGGTTTTTTCCTTTCAAAGAAACCCTAGTATGAATACTGGAAAATGACTAAATTAAAGGTGGATCTATCAAACTGTCCGTGTGTTTTCTTTACCCCCTTGCCACACCTTTCATCCAAAGAACTAAAGGCACCATGGAAAGAATCTCAGAGGAGGAAAACTAGATGACTTGTGGTAACTTCTAAGGAGCAAATCCCTGTACAGAAGAGGTTGGGCTTGTGAGAATCCTGTTGTTGTATGAAAGTGACCTGAGGACTCATCAAGTCTAATATCCACGTCCATAATGATTGAGAGAGGTGTCCCTTGATCTCAGGAAGCTGATAAAAGAGCCAAGGCTAGAACCTAGATTTGTTTTTACACCCCTTCCACTTGCCATTTACAGCACTCAGCACAGTCTTTTTATCGAGATGAAAAATTGGAGAGAAATCCAACTTGTGGCTTACCTTCTAGGTGATTTTAATTGTTTTTTTCTGTATGTTTTGGGGAGAGTTGAAATGAAAAACACTTAGATGGTGGTAATAATGCTCAGGTAACTTGGTGCTCTGTAGCTCCACCTGCTGACAAACCATACTTGAAACCCACCTTGACAGACTGTCACTCAAAATACAGTGGAGGTTTCTTGCCCTTTGGAGGTGCCTCACAAACATCTATCAAAATAACGTCAGAACATGGGCTAGAGAGTCCTAACGAAGCATGGATTTTTTTGTAAGAAACCTTCTTGATGCAGACCATAAAAATGCTAATCATAAAACAATAACTAACACCTGAGTCCTCACTATGTGTCAGGCACCATTACTCAATATGTTACAACAGTGTTTTTCAAAGTGTGGTCTCCAGACCAGCACCATGAACATCACCTGGGAACTCATTAAGGATGCAGATTCTCTGGCTCTACCCCAGACCTACTGAAGCAAAACTTTGCAGATGAACCCAGCAATCCGTTTTAACAGCCGTCCAGGTAATTCTAATGCATGCTAAATTTAAACAACCACTGCTTTTATATATATTCTCTCATTTAGTCCTCATAACACAATAAAGTGAAACTATTATCAATCTCATGTTATTAAGGATGAAACCAAGGCTGAGGGGGTGGTGAGTAATTTGCCTAAGATAGTTCAGCTTCCAAGAGCTAGTCAGGTCATCTGATCCAGAGTCCCACTAGGCCACTAGACAGTGGCTCCTGCACAATGTCTCCTGCTGTACGTGGGGTAATGTGCTCTGAAGCTGCACTGTCCAATATGGTATGTGCCCATTTAAATTTGAATTAATTAAAACTAAATTAAAAACTCATTTCCTCAGCAGCACTTTCAAGTGCCCAGTGGCCTCAATGGCTATTGACTAGCATATTGGACAGTACAGATGAGAGTATTTCAATCATCACAAATGTCTCTTGGACACTGCTGCTTTAAGGCATTCAGCTTATTGATTTTGCTTATAATAGATCAAGCACATACAGTTGAGGACTCTCCCTGGAGAATTCTCCAACTGGAGAATTCATGAAGGTGGTAAAAGGATTAGTTGAGAATGACAGACCTTATAGTTTCCCAAACTTAGTATCTATAGTTTCTTAGATAATAAGAGCACATATTACATACTTGCTATATGCTGGGTACTTTGTGTGTTTATACGTGATATCTCATTTACTATTTATATCATAAGATAGAAACTATTAGTGCTATTTCTTCAAAAAAGTAAAGAAAGACTCAGTAACTTGCCTAGAGCCACACGTTATTATTAGTCTGTAGTTTCTCCTAGTTAGGAACCCACTGGTACCTCTTAACTATAAGTGTGCCTAAGGAAATGATGTGCCGCTTCTTGACTAGTCTAGATTCTGTTCCTCTCCTGCATGTCCCATTGTCTTAGCCCTCACATCTCCCTCCCTGCCTTCTGTCTTCCTTCAATGCTCTTATAATTATTCCCCCAAAGGTCTCGGTTTGTGCACACAGCACAGTCTTTAGGCTGCTTTCTCCCAGGCTTTGTTTCCTGCGGTTCACTCTGTCCAGCACTGTGTGCCTGTGTTACTAGGTAATGGGACTGTGCCATGGGGTAGCGTTTGGTCTCCTCTTTAACATGATGACTGTGTCTGTTCTCATCGGCTCTGTGTTTTCCCTGTGTGACCAACATTCTCTTTTCACTCTGTCAGCTGGAGGGGCCTTTTGAAATAATTTTGGCTGGGAAGAGTCAATTCCTCTCTGAAATTGAGCTGAAAACAGATTGCCTATTGCTAGCACGTAACATTTTCAAACACCCCCCTAGACAGACAAGCTAGAGGCTTCACCGTTAATCATTTAAGCCCTCATATGTTAACTTTCAACAGTTCTGTTATATTGGCTAGGCTGGGATTATCTTATTTCTCTAGGAAGGAAACTGGGGCTCAGAGCATTAGTGACTTATCCTCAGATATGTAATTCAGCATTATGACAAAAGTTCATGTAGGGCCTGCTTTGTGAAAAGCACAGGGGAAGTGCAATATGCCTATAACTTAGAGGAGAACACACAGAGATACTAGATAGCACATGTTGGTTGAGCACAGGAATGAGCAATTAACCAAGATGTTTAGGGAAGGAATAAGACAGATATAGGATAGGAGAAAGGGCTTTCCAATCAGAAACTAGGACACAGAAACATGAAATTTGCATTTAGGGCAAAGCAAATCCATACAGTATGTGAGCAAATTGAGAATGGAAATATTAGATTGAACCATATGAAATTGTCAGTATTTGATTATTACTTTTTTACCAACAAAGCTGGCAGTTCCATGTGGATCCACCTGATGTATCCAATGAACAAGCATTTTGTGGAGTGCCTGTTTTGCAGGCACCATCTAAACACCAAGAATTAGAAATGAGACACAGTCCCCAGCCTCAGAATCCTCCCTGCCTGTGTGGAGATGAACATGGAAAGCCAGTGAGAGGTAGAGTAGCAACTAGAACCAAAGTCTTCTGCGTCTTGTACCTCCCCGGAATACATCAACTCAGGCATTCACTCTTAATTATTTGAAATATGGCTTCTAAATGTTGCACTCAGTGGCTTTCGAATAGAATACTTAGTATTGGGTATAACCATGTTGGCTCTGTGGAACGCAACTCGTTTTCTTTTGTTTTTGTTTTTTTTCTAACTTATTTATTTATTGGCTGTGTTGGTTCTTCCTTGCTGCGTGTGGGCTTTTCTCTAGTTGCAGAGAGCAGGGGCTACTCTTTGTTGCGGTGCGTGGGCTTCTCACCGCGGTAGCTTCTCTTGTTGCAGAGCACGGACTCTAGGGGCACAGGCTTCAGTAGTTGTGGCACGTGGGCTCAGCAGTTGTGGCTCACGGGCTTTTGTTGCTCCGTGGCATGTGGGATCTTCCCGGACCAGGGCTCGAACCCGTGTCCCCTGCATTGGCAGGCGGATTCTTAACCACTGCGCCACCAAGGAAGCCCGCAACTCGTTTTTTTTAAATGTTCCTTCCCCACTCCTACCCACGTACACACGGTAAAACAGGATGACAGTCATCATTTTCTAGAAGTGTTTCTGAAAAGCAGATGATGACGTGACTTTACGTGACTCTATAATAAAGTAATCTACCTTTTACCTAGTCACTGTCTTACTCATCATATCCACCTTAATCCCTTTTTCAGATAAGATGTTCAG